GCTATGTGCGAGGAACAGCTTTTCATCAGCACTGCCACTGTAATTCCTAATGCAGGCAGCTTATTATGCATGCAGAATGCATTCGCCTACTGCAGTGTAAACTGTGCCACCTTCTGGAAACCAATCATCGTACCACAGTTTCCACGGGGCGTTTTCTCCTCATCAAACAAACGGGCGACATGCCAGGGAGGCAAATGGTATAAATAGTTGCCGGACGTTACTCCGAGCACTCCACCCTTTTTTATTGTAAAGAAAGGGAAATATGTCATAAGTGTATGATAATTAAAACAAAAATAAAATCCAGTAAAAACTAAAAGAACACTACGAGGTTTGCAGTCCACCTACTAACTGCTAAATGCAGCACAAAGACATCCTGTTACTGCTCCTGCTGTAGTGGACCTATTATCATCTTGACTCTTTTAATAATCTCTGTAGGAGCTGCAGGACAATCATGGTACAATAGGCTTGCCAGGAGCAATTCCTGAGGAGCAAAGCCTATTATCCATGGATGAAAGGTTTCTGCTGTATTTGGCGCACCTATGGATGATCCATGTCTGACTGTCAATTAATAACAAGCCTGTAAATTAGCAGGTTAAGTACTGTTATCATCTGACACGAGCATTTCATAGTAATTTGTCTTATGGGTTCAGACCATAGCCAAACTGGCAAAAATGATTATGTTGCAAAAAAAAAAAAAACGTCACACGTGGAGTAAAAAAAAGTGAGGACAGGCTGCACAGTTATAATTATGGTTGCAAGACACCAGAGACACACATTGCACATACACATAAATGCATGAAAAAACTTTTTTTAAATATGCATTTTGAGACACTCTGTGGACTGGATGATGATTTCTAGATTTTTATAAACTTGACAGAGAAGACAAATAACTAGGATGCACTCTTAAACTCTTTTGGAGCACAGACAGACTTAATTAACTCTCTCTCGCTGGATAATGACACGCACTTCACCGGCTTGCTGCTATTTTAAAACGGGTTACAAAACAGTGAGAACCTTTTGAACACCAACCCTGTGCAACCTGGCGCACTTCTTTAAAGCGTATTTCGCCCATTCCAGATTAACATTACTGTTATGTAGCCACCCTGAACACACAGAACTATATTTTTCCAACAAACAACTTCATTGGCATTTTTTGAGAAATGTTTTAACAATTTACCAAAACATAAAAACCACTTTTCTTTCCCCTTTTTTTGTTTTTTACCCACAACCCACACGGGGCTTAACTTATTTTCATGTTTCTTTGAGGAATCGATGAAATATTTGTTGACCCCTGGATAACAGCACTTGGAGAGCAGGCTTAGTGCCACTCACATTTAAACAAACAATCATCAAGTGGAATAATGCAGGAGGGTTTATGGTGTGGGAACACAGAGCTTGTGTTGGGTTCAGCAATCATAGGCAACAATAGGCTTCGGGAGTGGTTATGGCTGAATAAGAGGATGACTATTGTTCATTTCTGAGTGCTTTTTACAAACATCTAGTCTTATGAAAATCATAGAATTTATCCAGTCTCCCCCCAAAAAATGCATATATATTACTGCATATAAGCACTTATTGAATGTCACTGTCTCTGATTGATCTTAGCTGACAGCTAACCTCTGTGAACTTTTAGCTGAAACCACCTTCCTTAAAGCTGGAAGCTCAAAATCACTTTTAGACACCAACATTAGAAGGAACTTGCTGCCATGTGGTTTGCAAGTATTTATTTTAAGGACAACTCAGTGCCAAGCAATGATGTTTTTTACTACTTTGCCTGGCATGCAGTCAGAGAATGCATAAGGTCTGGAAATTTCAATCTGTATTAATGCCCATGTTCTAATCCTGATGTAAGCCACCATGTCACTTCGTCATGTACTGTTGTACCGTTGGCTTGGCAAAATTCAGCAAAATTGCCCTCGCATATGGCTTTGAATTATATAAGTATAGAGAGGAGGGTGATGAATTTTCTGACGTTTTTTTTTACATTTTCTGTGAGACTTTTTCAGTGTAATCATTGCATAACTCATGCAAGTGAGGCTCGCACACAGAAACACAGGTCAGATGTGGAAATCCACAAGAGGTGTAGTCACACGCTGTCATCCAATTAGAACAAACTGATCTCTGAGCAACAACTAATCAATTCACTTCAAGACACCTACTCACAAACAGAGCAGCCAGACTGCAATAGAGGGCTAAAATAAGAGTCTTTTGTTGTATAAAACAGCTGCTAAAAAAAGGAAGAAAAATTATAAACTCTAATGTAACTTCAGTTAAAAGTGTCTTAGACTAGATGCACAGTCTATTTTTTGCATGTTATTGTGAATGTTTTATTGCTCGCACTGAGGTAAGGTAATATCACTACAGTCAGTTTTTATTATTTGGACAATAAAAAGCCTATAACAGAAGCTGAGTTAATAAACGCTGATCCATATGTTTTAACCTGTCCTACCTGTAGCGACATCGTTCAGCCTCTCGCTTAGATAATAGTCGTTAGGGTTGAGGTACGGGAGCTGCTCCATGTACTGTTTAGGAATCAGGTACAGGACTTCCGCCACATGTCCATCCTCGATGATGGACATACGTTTTACCGAGTTCTTGCGTTTTACTCGGACGCGGTTGACACTTTGGCTGCGGCTGGAGCTGCACAGTTTGCTCAGGCTGTTGAGGTTGGGCACAGTAGGCATGGTGCCCTGCTCTCCTTCGACCGTCCCACAGAGAAGGGCGAAGCACTGCAGGTAGACGTCAGCCAGTGTTGGACTCAGACTCGCTCTGAAATACTTTCAGCCTTGGACATCGGGGGTGAGGGGTGTTCATAGAGGCACAGAAGCGAAACAAAGGAAGCTTGAAGGGTAAATTCAAAAGAACGCATCGTTAAATCTTGGCCCGGTTTCAAGAGCCGATGAACCGCCTTTGGTTAGGGTCCCTCCATCCATCACTTTTCAGGTGCCCATCTTGAGGCGGGCATGCAGGCAGCAGGTAAGACCAACACTCTGCTTTAAGTAAGGAAACGTAAGGAAACAAGCTTACAGTATGAGTGTCTTCAGCCCAACCAGCTTGGTGCCTTAAGCTGCTTAAGGCTGACGTCGAGCCACGATTATCTTCTGGGTGGGGTTTGATTTGTTTTTACGTTTTAAGTTCAATTACGCTGCTAAATAACAAGATCCTTTTTTAAATCTTACATTAAGTTAGGTTCACACACAGAAAGAACAAATGGATCATTGTAGAGCATTACACTGACCCAAAGCATTCTTTCAAGGTTGGATTGCCTTGGGAGTCTGCCAGTCCCTTACAAGGTCAACAACCAGCAAGGTCGTTCCAGCAGGCAAGAATGCACAAATTCACTGTTCCTCATCAGCAGGATCAATAACATCTAAAGATCCTGTGAATACATTAGTGTTAAACTTGAAATGCAGACAAGTTATCCCTCCATTAGCATTGAAATTGACGGCTACATCAATAGGATTTTGCTAAGTTGCAACGCAGTAAGAACACATGTTGTGGGTTTGAGTTAAATTTGCTTCTGCAAAGACTTGCACAATGTCTTTTCATTCTTGTCTCATTTCCTCCAGCCAAGAATCCATTCACATTCCTTGGAAATCTAAGTTTTTCATTAGGTAAAATCCACTGACAATAACCCACTAATGCTTTAAACCAACTGAAAATATGATAGTTTTGTTGACACAGAGTTGCTAGGAAATTGCTACGTAGTCACCAAACATATTTCAACATAATATCAACTAAGTGCAATAAAACAGAAAACTCCTGACGTCTTAATTCCACCAAGCAGATAAGAGTAAATGAAACGTGTCACGAAAGAATTAAACCAGAGTAGCGCACACTTGATGAAAAGCATAGCAGACAGTGACAAAGCACAAAATTTCCTTTTAGTGTGGAGATGCCCGGCTTGGCCTGCACTTCAAATTTAATGAATTTCCTCTTTGTCTGAGAGGGTGCACAGACAGGATATCTGGAGGTAGACTGGCTGCGTATAGTGCTATTACCATCAGGTACTTATCTAATTTTACTTCCTCTGGAGTCTGCTTGCAACCACACCTTCATTCAGGCAGTCAGACTTTCATTACAAGCAAAATAAAAAGTGTGACAGTGAAAGAACATGTACAGTCTCACACCCACACACGAGGACACATGTACCTGAGAGTAGCTGAGGACATAGTACTCTGCTGCAATGTTGCACTGCCCTCCAATCGTCATCCAGTCTGTGGTATCTTTGCCACAACTACCCACACACTCGCAACTGAACACGCTTAGAAAAACAAGACTGCTGTCCCTGCGCAGCTGAAAATCAGTAGAGCACATAAAATGCATCACACACATTCGCACAGCCTCTGCTGTTTCTCCATCCTTATCAACGCATAACAAACACCCCCCCTCTCTTACCATCTAGTCCAAAACAGGAGGTGATTTTTTGGGCGTAGTTGCAGAGCCCATCGTAGCCAGGCTGCTGCCTCACTGTATTCCTCTCCCCCATCTCTACACACTCCCACACACACCGTCCCGTCCGGCAGTGCTTTCACTCCTTCCACTGCTCATCAATTATTCAGGCTTTTGCCAGGACACATGCATGCGCGCGCACGCCGACCCTCGGAATTCGCACATACAGTGCATAAACACACAAACACACTGGGAGAGAGAAAAGTGCTGAGGCAGAGGGTCGTGCCGTTACAGCGTGAGCAGCCCTCTCCGATGGTCGGATGAGAAGGAGACATCAGATTGGGTTACTGCAGGACGGAGCCGTGCCTCCTTTTTCATCCACCACTGATCATCAAGATAACACTGCACCGAGACAGGTACGCTGTGCAGGATGTGCAAACTGGTCAAGGAAAGGGCGGGGCAAAGCAGGAAGTGGAGAAAAATCACAGATGCACTAAGGTTTATGAGGCGCACTTTCTTTGTTCATAGTAACTTGAAGTCCTGCATAATGAAATTACTTTCAGGACAAATTAAGTTACCTATATTTTTTCAGGCTCACAAAATTCTTGTGACTTTCATTAGTGCACATGCACATAAACAGCATGTAATAAAACGTACAACTGGGTTTTTAAGTTACAAAAATACTTTGGAAAACAGGATGGCATTTCTTCACACTGATAGTGATGGAAGAACAAAAACATTACCTAAGGCATGGGTGAAACTTCCCTTAACAACATGCCTTTGCTAGGAAAATGGGGGAAAAGTGCAGTGATTTATTGAAACGTGTGTACGCATATGGAAATAAAGTAAATGAGAAAAACAACGAATTGGTACAATTTTAAAGAGCTTGAAATATGATCTCCTTTGTTCTCCAACACAGCCTGAACCCACTTACACTACAAAAAATAATTTTGTGACATAAGTAGACTGTAAAATGTTATATTTAATGGAATCTGGTCAAATTAAATTTACTTGATTGGTTTATACCAGGCACATTTTCCTCAATGATTAATTTTATTTGATTGATTGATTTAAATAAAAAAGCTTTGATTTTGATTTTAGTTGCATTTTACTCAAAATTATTGCTACATGTTTACTGAAGGCAAAGAATACTTTTTTTAGGTAAGCATTCTTCTAATTTATTTAAGTAATCTTCAGGATTACTTGACTGGAGGCCAGTCCGTGACTGATAGTGTTCCACTGTGTTTCTATCCAGGTACGCTTTTACTGCATTGGCACTTTGTTTATGATCAATCAGACAGTTTCCAGATGGTATGGTGGATCGAAATCAAAATGTTATTTTTCTGCTTTCATTATTCCATCAAATTTTGACAAAATCCCCGACACCACTGGCTGGAATGTAGCCCCAAACATGATATAACCTCCCCTGTGTTTTAGAGACTCGTTGCTGTACCTCACTCCCAACATCTGTACATATGATGTAACAATGATTTGAACCAAAAATGTTCAAATTTGACCAGTTGCCACTCATTTCCAGTGCAGCTTTTGCATATTTGGCACACCTCAGGCTTTTCTCCCTGTTTCCCTTTCTTTAAAATGGCTTTTTGGCAGTTACAATTCAACTGAGATCATTTCTGTTGAGGCAGCAGATTAATCAGCTGAAGGGCCAGATGTATGTCTCTGGTCCTGTGTCAGCTCTTTGCTGGATTTTTTCTGATACTTCCAGATACTCTTCATCGGTCGTAGATAGGTTTGTAGGCCTACCTTTTCTTCCTTTATGCTCCATTTGTCCAGCTTCCTCAAATTTTGTTTTACGGAAACAATACTTTTTTTCAGCTAATATCGTTCGCTGTAGCATTTTTCATAGATTCAGCGAGTTTTCTGTTATGTGTAGAAAAAACATTGAATCGTTGCCATAAGTTAAGTGCATCTTTTATGCCTGGATGATTCACAGGTCAGTGTTAATAACTGCTTTATATTCTGGGGTCAATACAAAGCGTCTTGAAGTGACTGTTGTTGTGATTTGGTGCTATATAAATAAAACTGAAATGAAATGAATTGAATTAAAGTTTTAAGAGGTTTAATAAAAAAAACAAAAAAAAAAACACATTTGTCTGAAAATGTTCAGGTACAAGGACTGAGTGAAAACACACCCAGTGTCTAAAGAAAAACTTTCTTTGGACATTGGTTTCCTGAGAAAGTCTGGAGAACTATTACTCAAGACCACTTTGAAAAAGTGACAGGACAGTCTGGCTCCTTAGAAGCAAAATATGAAGAAATGAGGGGTGGCCAAAAACGTTTCCACAGTTAAATACATCCATAACTTTTTCACAAATCCCGCTAACATACTAACTAAAACGAT